CAAAGAGTCGGACACGACTGAGCGACTAAACCACCCCCACTGGGTGCCACGCCTTCAGCTGAGCCTGGGGATCCAAAGGGGAGCGAGACAGGGCCTCATCCTTGCCCTTTCTTGGGCGTGGGGAGGCAGACAGCCCTGGGAATGACTGGTGCTGGCTCAGGAGCCGGGCTGAGAGCTGGGAACTCGGAAGGAAGCACAGCTTGGAGAACAGGAAGCCTGAAGTCCGGAGAGGTTCATGAAGACCACCAGTGACCCCACTGGTGCTGCCTGCCATGATGATCGTGGATGTTGCTGAACTCTGACAAGGTGTTGTTGCTGGTGTTCAGTGGCTAAGTCGTGTCTGACTCTTATTTTCCCAGGCACGGTTACTGGAGTGGGTTGCCATTTCCTTCTCCAGGGGATCTTCCCAACCCAGGGGTTGAACCTGCGTCTCCTGCATTGATGCTGGTGGAGTCTTTACCACTGAGCCACCTGGGAAGCCCCCTGCAGCCCATGTGTCTGCCCAAACCCATTTCCCATCTCCAGAGTTCAGAAAGCATCACGCTGTCCTCTGGCTTCCCAGGGCGCATCCCGTCCTCGCCGAAGGAGGAGGCCAGCTGGCACTCCTCTCCCCCTTTGCGGCTCTACCCACATCATATCTTTGCTCAGTGTTATGTTTCAATTAACAACCCCAATCCTCTGGATCCAATTTCTCATTTGCCAGGGTTATGCGTAGTGAAAATACTCACTCTGATGATAAATATTGGCTGCGGCTCTGTGCTCTGCCCAGGGCCCCGGCTCTGCCCACGCAGCGTAATTAAAAAGCCAGCCACGTGGGCACATGGAAAGCCTGGATGCCCCCTCCGGCCACAGAGAGGACACGGGAGGCCCGCGGACCCCAAACAGGCCATTAATGCCGGGCTGGAGCCACCAGCAAATACAGAACAAAACAAATGAAGCCAGGGGAGAAGGGCTAATAAATCTTGCCCAAAGTAGCTTTCACTTGGGGCCGTGAGCTGTGACCAGGGGTGGGGTGGGGCTCTGGGGAGCCTGCTCTGGAAGGCGGCTCACTCTCTGCCTTTGCTCTGAGCGCTGATCCCTGGATCCCCGCACCCAGGGAGGGCGGGCACCACTGTCTCCCTTACTTCCCATCTCACCCTGCCCTGCCCGCTGGGGCTCCTGGGACAGCCTCATCTCTGCTGCTTCCAAGCTGTTGATGCACGCTCTCACTCCATCCTCAGACCTTCCTCCAGCGTCAACCCGACCCACCACCGCCTTCCCACCCACCCGGGTGGTTTGCTGCCTTCACACCCCTGCTCCCCTCCCTCTTCTCAGGATCTCGGGTGGGCTGGGTCACAGTGCTGAGGGCGCCAGATCCTAGCCACTAGATCGGTGGCCAGAGACAAGGGCCCTGGCCCTTCGGCTTTGCGGAAAAGAATTTCCACAAAGATGGAAAGCAGTGAAGCAAATAAAGTGGTCATTAGGTGGAGAAAGAGTGCAGTACGGCTGGGTAGACACACGGGCAGACTCAGAGGGCGAGTCCCTGGGTTGCTGAGTCAATCTTGTGGCAGTCTGTGTTACTTTTGTGGGGCATTTCTTCTAGATTTCCTTTGGCCAATCATTCTGATTTGCATGGTTCACGGTCCATGTTTGGTGCATCTCAGGCTCCTCCTAAGTGTACCCATGCATCTCTTAGCCAAGATGGCTCCTGCTGCAAAGGTATCTGGGTAGAACATCCCTTGACATGACTCCCCTTTGGCCTCCAAAGAGCCTTTTCTGTGCCTGTGTGGTCGGGGAGGTCTCCTGACTTCAGGAACAAGAAACATGTGGTCGGAGCAGGGCCCAGCCTCCTCCCTTAATTGTCCTGTTGTTCTTCTCTTGGATTTCCGATCAATAGGGAATGACTCTCCAATTGCTTTACCCTGGGGGGTGGGGTGGGGGGGGGTGGGGGGGCGGTGGGTTGCCCGTCCGCCTCTTGCCTCACTCACACCCGCCTGTTCTCTCACATTCTATGCCTCTTCCTTTTTGAGAAGCCAGTCTCCCAAGTCGCCGCTTCCCAGCAGCCTTTCCTTCTGCCTCCTTCCCTTTGTAGTTTGCATGTTCCTTCCTGGGGACCCCGCACGGGTCCTGGAGGAGCTGACTTCACCCTTGAGCTCTGCCGCGCAGTGAGCTGTGTGACTCTGGGCCAGTTGGTCCCCCTGGCTGGCCCTCAGGTCCCCATCCACGGGGCAGCTTCCTTCCACCCTGCTCTGGGGATTAAATGAGGACTTGGTGAAGGACAGGGAGGCCTGGCGTGCTGCAGTCCATGGGGTCGCAAAGAGTCGGACACGACTGAGCGACCGAACTGAACTGATATGCAGAGGGGTCTGGTACACGGCGGGTGCTCAACAAATGTCAATGGCACAACCTTCCTATCTGCCCCTTTCAGCCTGGACACAGTTGACATGGAAGCTTCTAGTCCTCAGGTTGCCATGGGTATGCTCTCTGACCCTTCAGTGGGTCTTCCCATCTGAATGGGGGTGGCCCCTGCTTCTGTCGTCCTTCCTTACAAGAGCTGACGTTCGGACCTACGTGCCGGGGCTGCCGAATTCTTGACGCTCAGAGGGGAGCTGGGCTGGTCATCAGGATGGGTCCCCTTTCTCCTCGTCCCTGGGAAGCTGCCTGACCTCCAGCTGGCTAGTGCCCCCACACAGTTGTTTGCAAGGACGGCAAAAGGGTTCTGGGTTACTTGCTTCTGGTCTTCAGGCCTGATTTGGGGGTGGCATATTTTCCCCTGAGCCCCCAAGAGAAAAAAAAACTAATTCTGTTTCCCCGACGCTACGGTCTGAGCTGCTTCTGTCCACCCTAGTCCCCTGCCACACACGCAGTTCCCTAAAGGTCAGGGTTCCCCTACATCTCTGAATGTTCAGCCTGCCTCAGGCCTCAAGTCACAAGGGCCTAACACAATCTATATTTCCAACAATAGGGAGTTTGTTAAATTACAGTGCCATGAGCACATTTATAATGTATTTTCAATGCCAAAAAGCAGGTTTCAAAACAGTATGTAAAGTAAGAACTATTTTAGATGGAAAGAAAAAAAAAAAACCCTTCAACTATATTTGTATGGGAAGAAGATTGTCTGGGAGAATATACACTAAAATGTTAGCAACGGGTTTCTTTTTTTCCCCTGAGTGGTGGGCTAACAAGGGTTTTTGATTTCCTTCTTTGTGCATCTCCGTCTTTTCTGATTCATTTACAATGAGCAGATATTCCTTCCATTTCAACTAAATAAACAAATAAAGAAAAGCACCACCCTCGGAGGCCTCATTTGCATATATTTGCATGCATCCCATCAACGCCATCCATCAGAGCTCGGAGCCTTCAGCCTTCAAGAGTGGAAGGGCCCCAGAGTGCCAGCATCCTTTGTGGTCCTGAGGCTGCCATAGCCAGTAGCCCACACCTCCTTGGGAGGACCCTGGCATCGTCTGTCCCAGCCCCCCAGCCCAGCAAACCTCCCCCACCAAGCCCTCTAGCCTGTATCCGAGTCTTCAGGGCAATCATGGCCGTGACACCATCTCAGAGGCAATGACAGCACTGTTGTCACATTTCCAACCTGGAAGGCATCTTGCTTCCGCTCCGCTGGCAGCTCTTTCGTGTTATTCTCACTGCTTTGACCTTAAGTGGTGGATTTTCCTTTCTTTCTCCTTTTCCTTGTGTTCCGCCTCTCCTCCCTCCCCTTCTCTGTCTTGGCAGCGACTGTCTGAGCCAGGCATCTGAGCCGTCTCGAGCTTGCCTATTTTTGTACTTTGTGAAACCAGGGGATACGAAGGGCCAGGAGCCCAACGCCGCGTCTGGGTCCTGCGGTGATGCGTCTGTGTCCTGCGGTGATGCGTCTGTCTCCCCGCCTTGGCTGGGGCCCGATTGCACCTCAGCAGCAGTTGGGGAGCATTAGCCGGGGGACCATCACACACACTCGGGTCATTTCAAGTCTTATCTCACCCTCCATCGTGGGAAAAAATGATTCATTCAAAACTACACACACAGAGGATGGAAAGTTGGCTGAGAAGCACCGCTGTCCTGCTGTTCGATCAGCTGTACCGGAGACGGCCCCCAGTGACTTTAGGTGGGCCAGGATCTCCCTGGATCACAAAACCCCAAGCCCATCCCTCTGTCCCGGGGCTCCATGACAACCCACAGCGGCAGGTCACAGTGTGGGGGACACTGGTTACGCCCTTTATAGAGCTGATCTCATTCAGCCCTTACCCAAGGACCGGTAGGTTACATCCTGAAACCTCCGCTGTCTCCACTTACCAGCCATGTCATCCAGGTTGAATGACTCAGCATCTTGATGCTTCGATTCTCCTCATCCATCCCTGAGGACAAAATAACCCGTGCCTCCTGCGCTTCCTGTGAGGACCAAATGAGTTCACCCAAAGAAAGTCATCAGGACAGCATCTGACCCTTGGGAGGCATCCTGTTCAAGTCACTGTCTGATTTCCCTCCTCTGACAAGCTGGGGAGCGGGGAGGGGAAGGGGTGGTCATAGAGCTGAAATGTGGAAACGTTGACTAGTATTCCATTACATCACTCATCATGATCTCGATAATCCATCTGTGGTCTGTTCATTGTCTCTAGCATCTACCCTCATCCCACCGTGGAAAATGAAGATGGAGACGCAATGCTTGCCTGGCTGGTGAGCCATGGGTGGCAGGACTGGCAGTTTTTTCTGTGTGGTTCCAAGCCCCCTGGAAGCCCTCTGCTGGGCCTGACCCGAGTCCCCACTCCCTTAGGTTCCTGGTCCTGTCCTGCCCGTGGTGGAGGGTCACGTTGTCCTTCCGGGGGCCATGGCAATTACCTTCTTTCTCCTCCTGAGACCCCGCTTCCCCATCTGTCCTTGGGGGGTCGTTTGCCCCCTCGCTAAATTGCTCTGGTTCAAGATGGTGCAGAGACAGAACTGGGTGTCAGGGTGGGGTTTCTCTTCAACCTTCTCAGAATTTGTGGAAAGAACACGGAGGGGCCCACCCGACAGATTCCGCACAAGTCTCACAAGCGTTTGCTGCGGGAGCCGCTGGTGGCGTCTGGCTGGACGGTGAACCCCGCGGGGTGGGCCTGTGTCTTCTGCACGTCTTGTGTGGTGCCAGCTGTGCAGCCTATGCTGGGCAGATGGCAGTAACCCCCGGTGATGCTCACGGGTGTGCGGCGGGCAGAGCCAGCCTGGGCGCCTCCTCTGTTTCTGGAGGTGGAGATGCAGGAGGGCACCCTCTGCGTGGAGGCTGGACGCGCCTGGTCCCTGGGGTCTGCCGACGGGGCTCTCTGGCTCCGGGAGGTGGGCAGACACGAAGCCCCCACCTGCGGCAGCTGCTCTGTCTGTGTGCACAGAGAGGTTCCAAAGCTGTATCCACAGTGTGGCCCCCCACCTCTCCCTCCAGTTTCCCGTTGTCTGGGGGACCCCCAGCCAGCATCTGAGCACGGCCCCAGGGAGGGACGGGGAGGTCTGAAGTCACGTAATCTAAGTCTGTGATTTTGTGTGGCTCCCAGAGCAGGTCTGGGCTGGGGGAGAGCCCCCTTCTAGGAGGAGGCGGCTGGTCACTGGTGGAGCCGGACCCCTGGAGACATCCTCCAGCTGCTCCTTGCTGCCCCCAGTTAAGGCTCACCCAGCAGGGCCCCTCTCATGGCCCGAGGGACACGTGGACCTCCTCCCACGGCTGGGACGCACCCACGAGCATGTCTCGTTGAAGCTGTGGGTGTCGGAACTGGGTCTCCTCATCAGACGCAGGTGCCCCCAGGAGCTTGACATGAAGGCCTCTCTCTCCCCTAAGGCTCTCTGGAGACTTGTTCTCCCCCCAACCCCCTTCAGGGCAGCCCAGAGCCCTTGTCTGTGGCTCAGTTCACAGGTCAGAGCATCCCATGAGGGGAGGTGGGGTCCCAGCCTCAGCTGTCTTTGCCCCAACACCTGTTGCCCCCACCAAGGCTCCTATCCCGGTCACGTAGGTCCCCATGGTCAGGGCGGGCAGACAGGCTTGGAGCCCTGCCCACATGCTCCAGGGAGCTGAGAATCTCAGGATTCACCAACCTGACCCCCATCTGCCCCGGCCACCCACCGCGACCCACAGCCACTCACACACACACATGAACACACAATCACATGCAGTGCACACAGTCATACATGTATGCATGTACACCATGTATCGATATGAGCACATACAATCATATACATGCTCACACACTCACACATATATCCACACACTCACATATGCATGCACACACATCGTGTATATGTACACACACACACAGCCACACTTGCATGTACTCAGAATCACACACACAGCCACACTTGCACACACACAATCATATATACATATACAGTCACAACACACACATACAGACACAAACCCAAGTCACACATACATCGTGCATGCACAACCACAAACACGTGTACATACACGCACACCGCACATCCTGGGTTTGGGGGACCTTGGTCTCCGCTCCCCGTGGATCCTGGGACTCTGGGGTATTTGAAGGTAAGGGGAGTTTACGTTCGGCTCATCACCAAGGCCACCAGCCTCAGCTCAGGGCCAAGGTCCCGCCGAGGATGCCACCCCTCCTCTCTTTGCAGCACTGATACTTCTAGGGAGAAGTTCTCCGAGGAAGTTCTCAAGGCTGGAAACGGATTTCTCAGTTTCCACACGCCCTGTGCTTCCAATCCAATCTTTGCTCATACAAAGATGCAGCACCTGTTTCACTGACCCTCATCGGGTGGCGAGTGAGGCGGCGGCTGGAATCACGGGGAAGGGGCAGCCAGCAGCTCCCCAGCATCCTGGGAGCCCAGGAAGAAGTTGGCTCCAGAGTCAGCGCTCCGTGTGACTTTTGAAGATGCACAGCCTGGTTTGTCTGTTTCTCGGTTTGGTTTTCCCCCTTGGCAGCGTCCTGCCCTGACAGGAGGGCTTATAACCCTCTGCTGACTTTCCTGGGAGGGGCTGGGTCCACTTTTTTTTTTTAACAAATTAGCCCCTGGAGCCCCTAAAGAGCCCTGCCCAAATTTCTTGTCTGGCCTCTAGTCCATTGCTATTGATTACGGAAGGTTGAGAACCCTGGTCGGTGTCAATACCTACCTCACAGGGCGGTCATGAGTATGCAGGGCATGGATGCTCATGAAGTGCCTGGAATGGATGGTCCCTGGCACCAGGCAGCCCCCAGCCCCCACCTCATCAGCAGACACCGGGCTCTTCGTCCCCAGATCAGTCCTGACCTGGGTGGACTCTGGGAAGGTCGAGAACTACTTCCCTCTCAGTCCTGAGAAACAGAATTTGGAGGCCCTGAGCCCCCCAGGATGAGGATGGTGGGACGGCCTCACCGATGCAATGGACATGAACTTGGGCAAACTCCAGGAGATGGTGAGGGACAGGGAGGCCTGGCGTGCTGCAGTCGACCGGGCGACTGAATAGCAACAACGGCCCCAGTATGGGTCTTGGGCTGGGTGTGAACGTGGACCCCTGAACCTGGTCCATTGACACCCGGGAATTGTCTGGCCGACCTCGGTACCCTGGGGGACACATCTGACCCGAGGAGCAGGGGCAAGCCCTCTCAGCAGGAGGACACTGTGCAAAGAGTGGGGAGACCCAGCTTCTGAATCACAGAGCTCGGCTTCAGCCCCGTTCCCACCATTCACCAGCTGTGGCACCTGCGGTTTCTCATTTAACCTCTCTGACCCTCGGTACCCTCATCTATCCGTGAAAGATGATACTCAGCCCCTCATAAGATTCTAGTAGAGACGAAATCAGTCCGGTCCAGTTGCTCAATCATGTCCAACTCTTTGCCACCCCATGGACTGCAGCACGCCAGGCCTCCCTGTCCATCACCAATGCCTGGATCTTGCTCAAACTCACGTCCACTGAGTCGGTGATGCCATCCAACCATCTCCTCCTCTGTCGTCCCCTTCTCCTCCCGCCTCTAATCTTTCCCAGCTCTTCGCATCAGGTGGCCAAAGCATTGGAGCTTCAGCCTCAGTATCAGTCCTTCCAATGAATATTCAGGACTGATTTCTTTTAGGATTGAAAATAGAGTTGAAATAGAAATGAAACATTAGTACCTAATAATAATAACAGTAATAGTCAGCAGGTAAGAATTTGTTCTTAAAGGCTCTGTTAAAAGTAGGTAAAACTATACGAGACGGGAAATGTGTGATTCTGATGCTCCCTTTTCCAGGCTGGGGGCCTTTTTAAAGAACAACTTTCGACGGTTGACGGGGCATCTTTCTGAGCGTTAGGAGTCCTGCAGATTCACAGCTGAGTTCCACTCTGGTTGATGGATTCAGGAAAATTCCTGGTGGGTAATTATATTCAATAAGGGCCTGCCAGTATAATTTTCTGTCAGTTGCCACTTTGTGCTATGGGAGGCAGAGTGGCCTTGGGGGTCTCCAAGGGGAACTTAGTGGAAGCCGGGCCCGCTTGAGCACCATCCGTGGAGCTGGGGCTCAGAGGGGTTGTCTCGTCTGATGACCGGGGAGGCCAGACCGGGTCTTCGGCCGAGCAGTGCTCTGGTCGGAGTCTGCTGGGGATGACAGAGGAGTAATGGTCCCCGGGAGCCGCGAGGTCGCCGGGTGGATGAGGCAGGTCCGGGAGCTTGTAGGGGAGACACGGCCGGCCCCTGACTGCCCTCTGAGATGTCTGCGTGAACTCCCCGGGTCCTGAGAACCAGGACGGGCCATTTACCAAGCTGACTGAGGTTTTATTAACCTGCCACCCACCAAGGCGAGTAAATCAAACAAGCCCACGTTATTGAACTGCTGGCCTCAGGAACACAGGTGCTGTCTCTGCTCCAAGCATCCGGCTGCGTGACTCAGCAGCAAACACGGCCGCCTCTCAGCGGTGATAGGTGCAGACTCAGGACGCTTAGACAATCAAATCACATTTCTCCTGGGCCCTGAAAGGCACTAGCAGCTTCTTGGGGTGTCTCCTGTTCTGGGGGCTTTGTGTCACAGCAGATCTGTTGTACTCACTTCACTTTGCTCTGATGGTGTTGAAATGAGTTTCCCTTTCTGGGTTCAAACCTGCAGTTGACAAGGAGCTGTCCCTGGGTGTGTGGGTGGGGCAGAGAGGGGCCTCCTCTTGAATAAGAAGATGGGAAGTCTGTTCCAGACAGTCAGCGCTCCTTCAGGCCCAGGCGTCTCCGTGCTCTCGTGCTCATGTACACCTCCCTCCTTATCTGCACTTCTGGAGTATCCTTTCCTCCCGCCCTCCTCCCCGCCCTCCGCCCTTCCTTGCTTCCCTCCTTTTCTTCCTGATTTCATGTACACATATGTCCCAGTCCTTTGGAGCCACTATAACAAAATCCTACACACCCGGTGACTTAAGCGAAACTTTATTCCTTGTGCTTCTGGAGACCAGCAGTCCAAGATCAAGGTGACAGCGTGGCAGGTGAGGGCCGTCTTCCAGGCTGCAGACTCTATACGTTTTCACCTGGTGGGAAGGCCTGGGGATCACTCCTGAGCTTCTTTTTACCAGGGCACTCATCTCATTCGTGAGGGTTCTGCCTTCATGACCCTAATCACCTCCCAAAGGCCCCACCTTCCAACACCCCTTGGGCATTAAATTTTCAATATATGATTTCTGGAGGGACATGGACTTTCAGACCATAGCACTATATGTATTTATACATCCATCTGTCTATTCACTTTTTATCAAATCATTTTTGAATGCTTGTGCTAAGTACTAGGCATCAACGGAAGAGGGGAAATGGCATTGTTCTGGCCGTGTGTCAGGTTGCATTTATCAAAAGTGGCTGCAAAAATCTCTCCCATCCCATAAGCTCTTCTCTATGTCATCCTGCCATCCGCACGTCAAGAGGCAGGGTCCACGCCCCTCCCCTTGAATCTGGTCTCAGTGACTCACTTGTAAGTGGTAGGGTGCAGCTGGAGTCAAATGACACCGAGTGGCTTCCAAGACTGGACAAGAAAAAGTCACACAGCAGTCTCTGTGGGCCGTATGGGGTTCACATGCTCTCAGACTACCGTGTCAGGGAGGCCACGTGAAGATGATCTGGTCAGCAACCCATCTGAGCTTCCAGCAGTAATCAAGTGGGAGGCATGTGAATGCACCCGAACCGTGGATGTCCAGCCTAGTTAAGCTTTCACATGACTATGCTCCCTGGCCGACATGGGATTGCCACCGCCTAAGAGATCCAAGGGAGAGCTACCTGGCTGAGCGTTCTCCAGATTTCTGACCCACAAATCATGATGAAATGCAGTGGTTGTTTTCAGCCATTGAACCGGAGGGCCATTTGTTACACAGCAGTCACTGACTGGGACATGCTCTCGTGGAACATGCAGTCCAGTAAGAGACAGATGTTACAGTCCAGATGTTAAAGTCTCCTCCAAATTAGCATGAAATTATGCTTGAGATCAGTGCTACCTCGAAAAACTCCAAGGGCACAGGGAGGATGGGGAAGATGCCCCGGGGAAGCGTTGACTGGGAACTAAAAGAAGGAGGGCCTTCACGGGGGCGGGAGGAGCAGTATTCTGGCCCAGGCAAAGTCCCTGGGGCAGCAAGGAGATGCTGCAAGAAGGCCATGGATGCTACAGGGTGGGGGACAGGGGACGTCAGAAAGGAACCTGGGCAGAGTCTTGGCATGATGGGAATTCGGCCACAGTCATGCCTGGCTGTACCATGGTGAGCGCCGTCCGTTGAAATGACGCATGCAAACCCCCACCATTCAGCAGAACCCAGGTGCCCGAGGAAGTCGCTTTCCTGCTGAGGGCCCTAAAGCCCACCTCTTCTGGAAAAGGACGCCACTCCAAATTTAATCGCACGACCTTGGGTAGGTCACTTCACCTCTCTGGGGACCGGCCTTGCATAGTTGATTTATAGGTACTTTCAAATTCTGTGAATCTAAGAATCAATTCTGAGATGAGCTTCCCATCATGAAGAAAGCCCTCGCTAAAACCTACATAAATAGATTAAATAGGCCAATGACATGAAATTACATTTAATATGATTCATTATCAGCACGTGCTATATATGGAGCTCTCTCTTTTCTCCCTACTGCCTGCCTTGTTTTCACGGCAACGCGAGGGGTCAGGAAGGCAGTCACCGAGCAAATGTGCCAGGGTTCCCCAGGGAGAGTCTGGTCGTGAGAAACTATAGCAGGAAAATTAACGCCGTGTGCGTGGCCGTGGGCTGGCCGCGGGCCCGCCTGCCCGCTCACTCCCCCAAAGGTGCAGCCACTCCCTGGTCTGGTAGGCTCACCTGCCAGGCAGAGACGGGTTTACAGTGTCGTCAACAGCACTGGGCTAAGCTTCCAACTCAGTATCGTTGAAAATGCAGGGAGTGGCCGGGCCCCCTGTGTTTGGCATCATTTCCTCTCTGTAACCTTGGTCCCCCCACTTGACCTCCGCAAGCAACAATTTCCTCTACAATGGGGATAAAAATGCCCAGCTCTCAACCTTAAAGGGGCGACATGGAGATGAGACAAGATAATTCCTGTCAACAGTGGTCAGCTAGGCGCCCCGCGCACGGTCTGTGCTGCATAAACGTTGACTGTGTTTTCCCAGCCCTCTTCCTTCGAATCTTTTCTCGGGTAACTGGAGTTACAACACAACTGAGATGACAAGTGTCAGGCCCACGGATACTGAAGGTCTGCTGTCTGTCTTGATGGGTAATTGACTGTTCAGGAAACACAAAGTAGGTTCGGCTCCTGGCCATGATCCCTCTCGCTATTTTGATGCTGTCCCCGGTGAAAGATAAAAGCAGAAACACAGCCGTAAGTAATGTTTAAAGAGAGGTGCCCCAGCTGGGTGGCTCCAAGTGACATGTGGAGTTACTCATGGAATAATCGGCAGGGTCCCAGCCCTTGCTGGGAATGCATGCTTGGGGCTTGAGTGTGAGTGGGTGCACACACACATACCTCATAGCTGTGTGTATGTGTGTGTGTGTGTGTGTGTGTGCGCGTGTGTGTGCACTCCTGGAAAGCTAACTCCTGTTTACTTGACACAGTCCTGCTCTGTCTTCCAAGATGAAAAACACATCACCTCCCCCAGCCGCCGACTCCCTCCCGTCTGATAGGGGTGAGGGGTGAGCAGGCAGAACGTGGGGAAGACAGGGCGTCCGGATGAGACAAGGATGGTATCGATTCTGGACCAGCATCCTCATCCCTAGCCTGCCAGGCCCCTCACAGGTCGGGGCGGGAGGAGGGCCATGTGTCTTTAGAACAGGCAAAGACTGAAAAAAAAAAAAAAACCACCAAAACGGTTGCGTCCTGAATCCATCTAGACAGTAAATTTTTGAGTCCCTATAAGCTAAAATCAATATTGGCACAACTGTGTGTCATTAAAAACTAAATGAACATGACAAAGCCAAACTGCTGCCTATTAAACAAATGAGTTTTCTCCCTGCACAGGCACAGCGGGTTATTAAATTCTTTATTACAGGAACATCACCATTTGAAGGGGGTAAAAAGCCGTCTTTATGAGTCATCTGTATGTGTCCACCGCCCCCAAAGACGGCTCTGGCAGTTCCCGACCTGGTCCCCGCACAGGCCAGGAGGAGCGAAGGGAGAAGGTTGGGGTGACGCGGGCATTCACTCTCGCGGCATAGGTCCCTCTGATCTTCACTGATTCCGTCAACAAGCACTTAGCAAACACCTGCTACATGTCTGACTCTTCGAGACCCCCTGGACTGTAGCCCGCCAGGCTCCTCTGTCCAAGGGATTCTCCAGGCCGGAACACTGGAGTGGGTTGCCACGCCCTCCTCCAGGGGATCTTCCCCACCCAAGGATTGAAACCCGCGTCTCCCACACTGCAGGCGGATTCTTCAACGTCTGAGCCACCGGACTGACTCACACACTTCCTACCTGTCAAGCGTTCTGCAGGGCGCTGGGGATACAATGGTGAGCCACCGCCGTCGCGGCAAGCCCTACTGTGTTAACTCATCAGCACGGGTGCTGGCAACTCCATCTCAGAAGACTCAGCTGGCCGTGACCTACATGCCAGTTATTTTCTCACTTAACATGAAGTCTGCAGGCAAAGTGGTTCCAGAGTTGTATCATGATCCAGTGATGGGATCAGAGGCCCAGGTTTTTTCCAGCTTTGTGCTCTGCTCTTGTTCCCTCATGGTTGCAAAGTGGCTGCCATAGCTCCCAACCTCTTGACCCCACACTTAGCAATATCCAACAGCAGTTTCTAATCCCAAATGTCATTGGATTAGGGAGTGAAACCTTTTCCAGAAGCCCCTAAAGTTTCCCTTCAGGTCCCACTGGCTACTGGTGGTGGGGAGTGTACTCAAGCTCTCCATGAGGAAGGCTGGAATGTGAGTCACGTGAGATGCATGTGAATGGTGGTCCACAGGCTCCTCAAGAAATACTTCTCTATTTTTGAGGCATCTGTGATACTCTTGGGTCCTCACCTGCTAATGGCCCCCAAGCCTGCTTGCTGTGTTGATATAAAGAAAGGAGATGAAAGAGAAGACTTGCAAAGATGTTAAGGTTAAGAAGATGAAGGGGACCCTTTCTGAGCAGACACCCTGTTCCTGGGGGGTGTGCAGGGCTATGCTCCCACCTCCACTGACAAAGTGAGGACACGGGGCGCTCCAATCAGCCTGACACATACCCACCAGCCTCCCCTTTGCACTAGGAGCTGACTGGTCTTCCCTGCTTCAGCTCGGGGTCAGGTGCCACCTCAGCCAGATCCAGGAAGCAGTGATTCGGAACTCAGACAGCACTTCTGTGTACACTGTTGCTCTTAACATTCACAATGACTGAGCAAGGTAGACACTATGGTCTCCATTTCACAGATGAGGAAACTGAAGCATCTTGCCCAAGTTCAAATAGTATTCTTGGCAGGACTTGGACCAGAATCCTACCCACTGACTCATAATTCTCTGCTATATCCTCCACATGGCTGTGGTTCCCAGTCTCTGCTCTGAATAATTTCGAGGACTGCAGGCTGAACGAAGGGGCTCATTCTATCGGTAAGGTAGAATAATGACTATTTTTTCTCAATTTGTAGATAGAATATATTTGTACATATAATTTCTTCAATTACAAACTCTGTTTCTCAGTTTTCTTTTTGGTCTTTAACACATCATCTTGTCATCAGTACCAGAATCTGATGTTAAGTGCGATATGATTTAGCATGACATTACATATCTAGATCCAGTGTCTCAATAGTTCACAGTGTTTTTTGCATAGATTATTATGTGCTCTTCTATGCTTTATGCTCAAATTAGTGGTTTGAAAACCACAAATTAAAAAAAAAATAAAAAGAAAACCACAAATTGTTGCACAGTTGCTTTCAGACTCTGAAAGGCTAATCTGGACCTCAGATAGCAAATTAGTTTCATATCAGATTCTAGCATGAATTCTAGCATGACTTTGGGAGTGATTGTTGGAATGGATGTGGGGCTGCATCTGGACTCAGATGTCGGGGGAAGGATAGGGGCTCCATTATTTATGCCTGCTACAGGCACAGGCCTTGGGATTGCTGATGTGCTTACCATTTGTCTGCACACCCTCACCCAGGCCCGTCCTTCCCGAAGAAGAAAAGAAGGCGGTTTCACAGATCACCAGCCCAGGTTGGATGCATGAGACAAGTGCTCGGGCCTGGTGCACTGGGAAGACCCAGAGGGATCGGGTGGAGAGGGAGGTGGGAGGGGGGACTGGGATGGGGAATACATGTAAATCCATGGCTAATTCATTTCAATGTATGACAAAAACCACTGCAATGGTGTAAAATAATTAGCCTCCAACTAATAAAAATAAATGGGAAAAAAAAACTATTAAAAAAAAAGAAGGCGGTTTCAACCCTTCTTGGTTTGGGTACCTCTTAGAATGAAGAACTGGTGGCTCAGATGGTAAAGAATCGGCCTGCAGTGCAAGAGACCAGGGATCAGTTCCTCAGTCAGGAAGATCCCCTGAAGAAGGGAATGGCAGCCCACTCCAGTATTCTTGTCTGGAGAATCCCAGGGACAGAGGGGCCTGGCGAGCTACAGTCCACGGGGTCGCAAAGAGTCAGACACGACTGAGTGACTAACACTTTAGAATGAAGAAGGTGTTGGAGACAGGACAAGCTAGCCTCATTTCCCCTGCCTGTTTTAAGAGGTAATTGTGATGGCATAAAAGATGATCACATAATATTATTTAAACATGCTTTTTAATAGCCACGAGGATGGCCAAACTCCATTTGCAGACCGTGGCCACGACCTCGCAGAGGGCAATGACTTGGGAAGATGAGAACAGGGTTGGCGGGGAGCCCCTCGGCATCCTTGCTGGAGGAAGTTCGGAGCTGAGCCTCTCTGGAGGTGACACAGCAGCTTGTGGGGTGTGGAAGGGCGGGCGCCCTGCTGCCTGGATGGAGGTGGGATGGACATGGATGCATCCAGCTGCCCAGGATGGTTGGGGATGCAGAAGCAGCGACCCCTTCTGGCCAGCATAGGAATGGCATGGGCTTTCTAGTGAGCGTGGGTGAGAATTTAGGGTGAGTCTGTGAGCAAAGACAAAAGGTGACCCCGCAGAGCAGGCTCTGGGAGGGGAAGATGGATATGGGGTAAAAAAAGAGAGTCTGAAATGGGTTGAGACTTTAGAGTCAAACCGAGGGAAACCGAGTCTCTTGGGCTCAGCTTGTTGTTCGGTAGCTAAGTCGCGTCTGACCTCACGGACCGCAGCACTCCAGGCTCCTCCACTGTCTCCTGGAAGTTGCTCAGATTCATGTCCAGTGAGTCGGTGATGCCATCCAGCCATCTCATCCTCTGCTGCCCCCTTCTCCTCCTGCCCTCAATCTTTCCCAGCATCAGGGTCTTTTCCAATGAGTCAGTTCTTCGCATCAGGAGGCCCAAGTATTCGAGCTTCAGCTTCAGCAACAGTCCTTCCAATGGATATTCAGGGTTGATTTCCTTTAGGATTGACTGGTTTGATGTCCTTGCAGTCTTGGGTTTAAGAGGGAGGTGTTTATGGCATCTGATGGCTGCTCTAAGTTGGAAGAAGGGAGTGTGAAATGTTCTGAATTCCAAGGACAGGGACTGGTGGCATCCTGGGCTGTCCCCCAGCCCTGAGGATCAGCTGAGGGGCCTTCACGATGTAAGCACTGCTTCTTTTGTCTGAAGTAAGGAATTTTAAGTGATTACAGATGCCTGGGGAGTCAGTGAATGCTTTGAAAGGTCCATGGGTTCTGTAGAAATTGTTTGTGAAATTTAGTGCATATTTATGTACATTTTCTTTTCCTAGGGAGAAGGTCCATAGTACTTGTCAGATTCTCAAAAGCTTCTGTGACCCCCTCGAAAGAGGATTTATTTAAAGTATTTGTCTGGAAGGAGGATTATCCTATAAATGGTATTGGGATAACAAGCTAACCTTTGGGGGAAAAAATAAAGCTGGATTCTCACCTAACTCTTTACACCAAAATATATTCCAGATGGAGCAAAGATTTCAATGTTACAGAAAAAAAAAGAAAAAATGAAAGTTATGGATAAAATTTGTGTAAACAGATTTATAACTTTAGTGTTAGAAACCAGTTTTCATAACAAGACATGAGCTCCGAAGTCATTTAGGACAAGATGGATGAATCTAGCACAGAAAAACTAAACTTTAGGGTGAGGAAAAGAAAACAAGGAACATATTGAGGTCAAAACACAAGGGACAAACAGGGAAAAAAAACATTTACAGTACAGGTCAAAGGACAAGAAACCAATTTATGTATGTATAGAGAGCTGGGGCAATTCATAAGAAAAAAATTATGATAACAAATATAAAGAGGTATATAGGACATAGGCAAGCAGCACCTCTGAAAAGAAATACAATGAACCAAGAGACAAAGGAAAAAAATGCCCAGCAACTCATTAAACAATTAAGGAAATACAAATCGATACCCAAAATGGGATTACCATTCTTACCTTCAAAGACTGAACAAAATTTATACTGAATCGTATTTTACGACATGGATGTTTTATATTTTATTTGGTCTGCCACATCTTAATATTTATATTGTGTCTGGTTTTCAAGTATTACAAACAATGTTGTCAAGAACAATTTTGTAGCAAATCCGTGATTATTTACTTAAGATGGATTCCTAGAGGGATCATCAGCCTTTAGCATCTTTTAGCAGATCTGACCCTTTCTAAGGCGATTTGAGTAGACAGGCCGGAGCTGGAGCCACAGTACAGGGTTGAGAGCCCTCCTGGGAACCGCAGCCCTGGATTTGAAGATTTTTTAAAAATGTTATATAATGTTCCATGAACATGTGTTATGTGCCAGGCAGTGCAGCGGACATTTCCACACTTATTAGGTGTTTTGTTTCACCCTGAGACAGCCTTAAGAATTGAGGGGAGCATTTCCCTCCCCCGCCTTGTGGCGATGAAGAAACAGGATCAGGAAGGTTTAGTAACTGGTCTGAGACTGCACAGTGAAGCTGGGATTGGAGGCGTGGGTCTCTCTGGCTTGAGAGTCTGTTTCTTCTTGCTTTGCCAGCTGCCCATGGGAGGCAGCAGCTGGTGACTTGGCTGGAGGCTGGAGCCAAGGCGGGAAGAAGACCCGCTGGAGAAGACGCGAGTCTCTTGGACCAAACCAGTCACTCAACCCTGAATGTTCATGGGAGGACTGATGCTGAAACTGAAGCTCCAATCCTTCGGCCACCTGATGCGAAGAGCTGACTCACGGAAAAGACCTTGATGCTGGGAAAGATTGAGGGCAGGAGGAGAAGGGGGTGACAGATGGTTGGATGGCATCACTGACTCAATAGACATGAGTTTGGGTAGACTCCAGGAGATGGTGATGGACAGGGAGGCCTGGTGTGCTGCAGTCCATGGGGTCTCAAGGAGTTGGACACGATGGAGCCACTGAACAATAATGAAGGGAGGTGGGAGAATCCCAAAGACAATGTTCCTATTAAGGGTTTTCTGGAAGGCTGTTCCTATTCCTCGCTGCCCAGAGGTATAACTCTCCAAGGAAAGTTCTTGACAAGGAATGGGTGGATGGATATGAAATAGTAAAGGGCATGTGAGGTCACCAGTCTTGCTTTGCCTGCTCCCAGCCTTGACTAGTTGGGTGCATTTAAATGGGCCGCCTGTGCAGGACCTAAGCTTCCAGTCACCAGCATGCGTACACAAGTTTACACATAGCTCAGCAACACAAAAGAGGCTTCCATGGTCCCCAGGGAATTCTAGGCCCTTGCCCATCTAATCGTTCCTCTTAACCCTTCTATGGGGTCTTCCCCCAACAAAGCCAGTTCATCCTCCCCTTCACACTTGCCCAGACCAGCCCTCCCTAGATCATCCAATTAAGGAATCCTGCTCAGGTCACAGTTTTAGAGAGCAAAAGGGCAGGTCTGATGTTACCTTTCAAATAAATTCTATAGCTCCAAGTCAGAGGGAGTTTGGAGGCTCAGTTAATTTTCTAAGAGGAATCACTCTCTCCTCTATCACCGTGTCTCAGCTCTGCTGTAGCCCAAGGAGATAAACGATGATTCTGGAAGCAGCCGGTGTAAGCAGAGAGATGAATCATTCCCCCACGTCTGTGACGGACAGTAACTCACTTCCTCTGCTCTGCTGTTATCCCAGAGTGGATACTGGTCCAACATTTTTTGGTGAGTCCTAAGGACACAGCACAATCAGAGCCAATGTTGTTGTTTAGTGGCTCAGTCGTGTCCGACTCTTTGAGACCCCCATGGACTGTAACCTGCCAGGCTCCTCTGTCCGTGGGATTCCTCAGGCAAGAGTACTGGAGTGGGTTGCCATTTCCTTGTCCAGGGGGTCTTCCTGACCCAGGGATAGAACCTGTGTCTCCTGCATTGGCAGGTGGATTCTTTACCCCGAGCCATCCAGGAAGCCCAAGAGAGAATGTATCAAAAGCCTTTAAAAAAAATGTACATGTTTGACTCAGCAAAATTGTACTCCCACAAATTTATCTTAAGGAAATAATGTGATGTGCTCAAAGATCTATGTACAATATGTTCTTCACAGCGTCTTTTATACTGTCGGCAGATTGGAAGGAAACTAGTGTTCAATAAAAGAGACTGACCGGAAAAATTAACAGCTGTGCTGGAGGAAGGATAACGATGGGGCCGAAGGTCACTATATGACTGTTAGCGGGCGGGGCGGGGAGAACAAGCTGGGAAGCAATATGTACAATGCGTCCCAATAAAGAAAAATGTTGAGGATGGGGAGAGAGAACGAAGTCCGGAAAACCTGTGAACCAAAAACGTTTCCCTCCAGGTGATGGATTTGCAGGCAATTTTTCTTTTCCTGATGCTTTTAGGCTTTCCACGTTTACTGCATTGTCATAAGGAAGACCATTTTTGAAAAGATGGTTCTGGGAGAGGTGCTTTTGGTGGCTGCCTGAGGATGCATGCTTCAGAGCAAGGCAGCCACCCGGTTGGGTTCAGGATGCGGGTGGCCGTGCGAGCTGGTGTGCCGGGGAGAAGTGAGCCTGGCCTTTGGATTCATCGCCTGTGATCGCTCTTACCTCTGATCCACAGGGGACAATCAGTATCCCAAATACCCAGCCTGTTAGACACAGTGTTTGATGGAAGATCGAGTTCCTCAGATTAATGCTGGGTTGAAAAATGACCCACGAGTCCCGGGAGAGAGAGCAGAGCTGGAGAAAGCTCAGTATTTATAACCCAGTCTCCCGGCTCGGGGTCTGGACACTGCACAATTTTGACAGATGATTCTCATGAGAAACTTTCAGTTTCCATTTGATTATAGGCTCATAAACACAGATCGCAATTGAGCAGAGTTAGGGCTCTGCTTGCATTGGAGCTGCCAGGGCTCAGGAAGCCCTTCTGGATGGCTCTGGCATGCCTGTCACCTGCGGGGTCCCGAGATGCTCTTGGTTCTGAGAAGCTGCCCTTGGTCATGTCTGTGTTCTGATGAGGCTCTTTGAATTACCCACCTACACCCTTGATGTGGGCGCCTGCCTCTCCTGTTATCTGGCCAGGGGTGTGTCTTTCTCCTGAATCATCCCATCCTACCCAGCTTTGGGGGGTAGCGGGTGCCCAGCTGGTTCTAGGAGGCTGGTCTGGGAGCCACCACCTGCTTTTGATCTTCTTCACTCACTCATTCATTCATTCATCATTTGGTGATGCTGAGCGGGGGCGATGTTGATGGCAGCACGGACCATGGTGACAAGAGAGGACGTTGTCATGGAGGCACCTTGAAAGCAGGGCATTCAGGATGAGGGGTGGGGGAAAACGAGAGGTGTGCAGGCTGATTCTATTTCTTTCTTAAGTACTGAGGGCGGGGTGGGGCACAGTTGCTGTTTACTGAGGCGGAGGAAGCTGGAGGAAAACCTTTGGAGAAATGTCACTTCTAATCCGCAGCTCTGTCCCAGGGGCTCCCCATGTGCCAGCCCCCTGACCCAGGGCTCTGATGCGTCACTTTGTCTTTTTGGTCAACCCCCTGCATCTGCCTGCCTTCCCTTGTTGAGGCATCATTTGCAGAATGCTCTGGAGAAGGCCATGGGCAGGGGAGCCTGGCAGGTTACAGTCCACAGGGCAGCACGGAGTCGGACACGACCGCGTGAGCACACACGCACGCTGAATCGCAAACGCTGCTCTCGTGCATGCTCCCCGCCTCCCAACCCCTCCATCTGCTATGACCCCCAGGGCAGTGGGCTCCAGCCCAGAGCCCGAGGTGACCTTCCGGTCCTGCCGCCCAGCCCCACCGCAGGGTCCGGGCACCTGTGGGCACCACTGCCTCACTGCCTCGCCCTGCAGCTCGGGCTCCTCCTCCACAGAACCCCCCGGGCCCCCCGCACGGCTGCGCCAGCCTCTGGTGCGGACCAGCTGCTGGGTCTCTGCTCTTTCATCCCCCATCCCCGGGGGCCCTGGCTGTGCTTCCTCAGCAAACACATCTGGACTCATCAGACCGCGTGACCGAAACATCTGCCTCCAGAAGCGGAGACAGCAGCCCTTCTGTAATCACTCCTGATTGTGTCCAGCCCCAGGGGCTCTCGCCTCTGGGCCCTGGGTTTAAGGACATTCAGGTTTCCAGCAGCGTATTATGGGCTCTGTGGGCCAGGTGGTGGCAGGATGAAGGGGGCGCAGAGGCTCCGGATGAACAAGAGGACTGAGGCAAACCTTCTGTCCCCGGTGTCCCTCGGAAAGGGACAGACGCCCACGGGAGAAGGCGAGGTGACGTGGCAGGTGCCTAGAAGACCCCTCGGCCTCACTGCTCCCGGGGCCTCCTGCTGCCGTCTACCCACCAGGAGGGCCATCTCTTTGCTCAAGGGCGTTTCCTGATGCCCTGAAAGCTTGCTTTGCCAGAAGTGGGGGAATGAACTCCCACCTCCCAATTAGCCCTTGACAGCGGCCAAGGGGAGGGCGTGTAGAAGTGCCCAGCGCTTTGCCCCTGGGTGGGGGTGACTCGGAGGTGTCCCTACAGGTCTCCTGGAGATCCGCCCGGGAGGAAGTTCCAGTTGCCCCCGGGAGGAGCAAGTGTGATGACCTGCTCCTCTGGTGGGCTCCCAACCCCTCCCCTCCCCTCCCCTCCCCTGAATCACCTCCCCCCTCCCCTGCATCACCTCCCTCGCCCCTGCTCCACCTAAAGGTGCACCAGATCTGCCTCTCAGGAGCAGCTCTTGGGTGAACCCAAACTAGCCCAGCGATGGCAAGTGTCACATCTGTGGCCTTACAGGTCTTTGATTTCCGCCTTTGAAGACTGACGCGTGCCAAGGGCTAGGGGAGGGGCCTTAGTGTTTGTTTGTTTGTTTTTGGCTGGCTGGGTCTTCGTTGCTGTGCGGGCTTTCCTGTGCTTGCGGCGATCGTGGGCTCCTCTGTATCTGCGGCGTGCGGGCTTTGAACTGCGGTGGCGTCGCTTGTCGCGGGCTCTAAAGCACAGGCTCAATAGTTGCAGCGACGGGCTGAGTTGTCCTGAGGCTGTGGGATCTTCCCAACCCAGGGATGGAAGCTGCTTCTTCTTCACTGGCAGGCGGGCTCTTTACCACTGAGCCGTCAGGGAAGCCCTACAGGTTGTTTTGGGACAGTTTGAAGAGGCACCAAGAGTCTGTGGGTGTTCTGGGGCCTCAGCAGAGGGGAGATGCCCTGGGGCTGGGGTGAGCACACTCTAAGCAGGATGCCCTCAGTGAACAGGTCTGCTCCGGCCCAGCTGTGATGTGACCGAAACCCAGCACAGGCTCAAAAAACCAGCCCTTTATACGGTGTGACTCCACCATCCCAGGGGAGAGTTCCTCCCTCTTCTCCATCTCCCACAAAAGCACGATCATGCCTCCCTGTTGAGACTCCAAGCCATGTAGACGTCTGTTCTCTGAGTCAGACATTTGGGCTGGATTTAACTGGCTAGTACTCTTGCCTGGCAAATCCCGTGGATGGAGGAGCCTGGTAGGCCGCAGTCCATGGGGTCGCTAAGAGTTGGACACGACTGAACGACTTCACTTTCACTTTTCACTTTCACGCGCTGGAGAAGGAAATGGCAACCCACTCCAGTGTTCTGGCCTGCAGAATCCCAGGGACGGGGGAGCCTGGTGGGCTGCCATCTATGGGGTCACACAGAGTCGGACATGACTGAAGTGACTTAGCAGCAGCAGCACCAGCATTGCATTGGGCTTCCCAGGTGGCGCTAGTGGTACAGAACTCACCTGCCAGTGCTGGAGACAGAACAGACGTGGTTCGATCCCTGGGTCGGGAAGATCCCCTGGAGGAGGGCATGGCAACCCACTCCAGGATTCTTGTCTGGAGAATCCCATGGACAGAGGAGCCTGGCGGGCTACAGTCCATGGGGTCATAAAGAGTCAGACACAGTGGAAGTGACTTAGCACGCACAGCATGGTATTAAGAGAAAGTGACGGGTTTCATATCAGCCAGATGGAAAGGGGTCATTCTTCGGCAGCTGCCTTTAGTGAAGAGGGACTTCTGATGTCCAGAACCCCATGAAAGAAAGTGAACATGTTAGTCGCTCCGTCATGCCTGACTGTTTGCGACCCCATGGGCTGTAGCCCACCAGGCCCCTCTCTCCATGGGATTTTTCTAGGCAAGCATGCTGGAGTGGGTTGCCATTTCCTTCTCCAGGGGATCTTCCCGACCCAGGGATCAAACCCTGGTCTCCTGCACTGGCAGGCGGGTTCTTTACTGACTGAGCTACCAGGAAGCCCCCAGCACCCCGTAGCCTCATAATTCAGCTGATGGGGTTGCATCCTGGGTAATGTTGACATTGACCATGGTGTGATTCCAGAATCAATCTTTTCATTTTACAAATAGGAGAACTGAGCCTCAGTGACCCTCTCCTACACCCTCAAGGCCCACCCTGTTTTCATCTTCCTTTATGAATGAGTTTGCAAGTATTTATAATTTACTTCCATCCTCATAGCCCATCTCCACGTCCTTTATGGAGTTTATCAGGGATGGCCAATGTTGACTTTCAAAAAAATTTACTCACAATCTAGAAGTTGAGGGTTATGTTTTATTTGATGCAAATTTTTAGGACTTCAAGCCTGGAAGACAGCATCTCAAGTGACCCTGAGCGAACTGTTTGGAGGAGGCTGTGCGGGGGGAGGAGTCGGGTTATACAGAAGCTTGCAACAAGGGGCAGGGAGTCTGAACATCAGAAGATGATTGCTAATTCACGGAGACCAGATATCTCAAGAAATTCAGTGCTTTTCTATGGGAAAACACAAGAGTCTGGGCTCACTGAAGCCACTCCTTTCACATGCTCTCTGGGGTCAGCGTCCTGAGATTTGATTTTTCACATCCTTAGTTCTTTCCTCACCGGGGGGATGGCAGGGGCTCGGTGGTGGCCGGGAAGCAGGCATTGCTCTTCCTGGAGGGCTGGAATCCCTGAGGGCTGTGACATGCTTGTTCACTGACACAGCAGGAAATACTGTCTCACGCCAACAGGGAGGGCCACCCCTTCCAGGCCAAGTGACAGGACCCCCGGGATCCAAAAGAGGGCTGACGATGGAGCAAACCCATCTGAGACTCGGGCGCAGCTGGTTGAAAGGACACATAAGAAACCACTTAGAATCAGCTTTTGATCCCTGAGCCTCCGGCCTTGCAAGGCATGGAGGGGAGCCTGGCTCTCGTTTGAGCAGATGGGCCTGTTGGCAAATATACTTCCTTAGATTCCCCCTAAACATACAACATCCTGTCCTGGGTGGGTGGCTGTGACACAAGGGACCGAACAGACCTCCAAGAACACCTGTTGCAAGAGCAGCCGCCTCCGCGTGCAGAGCCGAGAAAGCACTGGCATGGCTGCCTCTCTGTCTGAGGGTGCGCTGCCTTTAAGGAGTGGGCCGCCTGTAAAGAGCCTGCCGGGCTCTCTGGGGACCTGCCTTCGGGGCGGTGGGCTGAGGCCTGAGGGACCCAGAGGAGACAGGGATGAGCAAGATGGCAAAGCCAGGCCCAGGATGCGATGCCTCCACGCTTGGCACTGGGCTCGGAGAGGGAGTTTCGCCAATGCCTGACACTGATCTGAGAAAGCGTCTTGCCTAACACAGTGGTCTCTTGGTCCCTGACTTGCCTGTTTTTCTTCCCCAGGAGAGGCAGCTGACATCGTGGTCGGCTTGGAATAAGGCTTTACTGAGGTTGCAGAGAGAGAACAGGGTAGGAAGGCCTGCCTCCAGGCCTTTCAAAGGATCTCCAGTATCATTCAGCATCTGACACTCTCTAAGACAGGAGCGACTGATAGCAGATGGGATGTCGCCACTCCATCTCCTGTGCGGGTGTAGCTTGTGGTATTCCGACCTTCACCTGGGGTGTAACCTCAGAATGCTTCTTAACACGACGACCCGGGCTGGGACGAACACCAAGGCCCAGAGCTGGCACTGAAGATGAAACTCATTTTCCATGTCAGTTTAGAACTCACTCGGCAGAATAAACCATGCAGCTGTAAAGAAACAAAAATAAAGAAATAAATCCTTACCCTTAAAAAAACACAAAAACCCATTCACTGACTCAGATGAACTTATGACAGATACTTTGATAAGAAATGCTTAAATGATTATAAAAACAGAATTTATCGCTCACCTTGCTTAAAAGGTAAGGGCTTGCACCATACCATGAGGCTTCAGATCAGATGTCACGTGATGCACCTCAAATTTGACGCGAGGGCCTTTCTGGCTTCTTTATTTTTGGCTGCGCTGGGTCTGGTGGCTGCAGGTGGGCCTTCTCTCATTGTGGCGAGTGGGGCTACTCTTCTTGGTGGTGAGCGGCTTCTCACTGCAGTGCCTTCTCTTCCTGCGGACCTTGGGCTCTAGCGCACGGACTTCAGTAGCTGTGGCACACGGGCTCAGCTGCCCTGCAGCCTGGCATGTGGAATCTTCCCAGACAAGAGATTGGACCCGCGTCCCCTGCACTGGCAGACGGCTTCTTTAACCACTGGGCCGGCAGGGACGTCCCCATCCTTGTGTGAGTGGGGAGGGTCTAGAGGCAAACTTCACCAGCCCCACCCCAAGGGGCCCTGGGCTCCCCATCCAGTTGACAAGCCCTGGAAAGAGAGCAAAGCAGATGGGACCCATGTCTCGGTTCTCTGTAGCGTCTCTCCAACCTGCTCCTCCTGCTTCTCTTTCTCTCCTGAGCTCCACTTAGGAGGGTGACCCTATAAGTTGTCATCTGAACTGGGAGTGAAAGTGAAGTCGCTCAGTCATGTGTAGTCCACCAGGACTGTAGCCCGCCAGGCTTCTCTGTCCATGGGATTCCCCAGGCAAGAATACTGGAGTGGGTTGCGGTTTCCTTCTCCAAGGGATCTTCCTGACCTAGGGATTGAACTCAGGTCTCCTGCACTGCAGGCAGACTTTTTATCACCTGAACCACCAGGGAATCTAAACTGGGAGGGACCACTATTAATAATTACACCAGAACCACACACCAAGACACATAGACATCAATGAATGAAAGATATAAAGGCAAGGTGTCCCAAGCAAACAGGATGGCCATGCCCTTAGGCCCTATACTATTGTATGGAAATGTATATTTGTG